ACGAGCTCGTGGAGGACACTCAGGCGGCTCATGACGAACCTCCTGCCAAGAAAGCGCGGCATGGCCATGACTCCCTCACCATCATCTTTGGCAACATCACCAATTTCGGGGCTAAGGTTCAGGATTGGACGTGGTCGCAGGGAGATGCTTTCCTCCTTCTTCATGAAACGGGTGAAGCGGCCACTTCCCGAGCTCTTCAATACTACACCAACAGGGGGTGGAAGGCCTATGGCTCGGCTGCACACCCTACTGGGCAAGGAGGCAGCTCTGGTGGTTTCTTGACGCTGCACTCCACCAAACACCTCACGCATCAAGCAGCGGAATTCCTCCATGAAGGCAATGGCTGGACCGCGATCGGGTTGCAGAGGCAAGGCATGATGATCTTCCTCATCCAGATCTACCTTAAGACGGGAGAGACTTTACAGTCTCACAGCAACTCTCTCATCCTCAGCCACCTCATGGCCTTCTTGCACCATTTGAGAGCACCTTTTGTCATCGGAGGAGATTGGCAAAATGAACCGGCAGCCCTTCCTGCTACGGTCATCCAAAGCAAGTTTAAGGCGCACATCATGGACACTGGGGGCTGCACCACGTTGCATGGCAGTCAGATTGATTTCCTTTTGGTCTCCAATTCTCTGCAAGGGGCTCTCCGGCTTGAAGCTTCCTGGGAGGTCCCCTGGAGGCCTCATTGTGCTCTTCATGTGCAACTGGATTGTGACCAACCCGCGCAAGCTGTCCAGCAACTTCAGCGTTTCCCTCCGGTAGGGCGGACTTTTCAGTTGCCTCACCAGTGGACGAGCTTCCAGGAGGACAATGGGCCCTTCTACATCATGAACCACCTCATCACTGGACTGGGCTCTGACCTGGCTCGCTGGGCGACACAGACCGAGAAGTACATCACCCAGATGCTTCACAAGCCCACCCTGGGCAGGGGATCCAACATCAGTCTGACACAAGCCCCACTCGTGGACGCCTCCACCTCGCGCAAATGGCTCCGGGGCTCGGTGGCTTTTTGGGAGAAGCTCAACGTCAGACTCAACGTTGCTCACCACTCTGGTCATCGAGGGGTCATGCGTGACCTTCAGGCTATGTTGCAAGACGTTCCTCACTTCTGCTCAGAGGATTTCACTGCGGATGTCTTTGTTGCGCTCGTGGGGCAATGGCTTCAGCATCCCACCGCGGATCCGGGGGACATCAGGGCTCAAATCTTGGAGCAGGAGCACCTGGCACAGAAGCAAGCCCTTCAATCCACCAGCATTGAGTTCCACGAATGGCTCAAGAAGGCTCACCATCATGGGCTACGGGGCTTGTTCCGCAGCCTCCGGCAACGGGATCAGGCCTGGCAACGTCCCTTCCAGGACCTCCCTGCCTTGGAGAGAATCTCAAGCAGTGGGGTGACATTTGGCAACCCCTCACCGCCCCGGTTCACATCCGAGGTCTAGAACAGCTGAGGGAGCTTGCGCAGCAAGAGGCTCTCTCCTGGAAGCCGATAGACTCCTCACTTCTTCAGAAGCTTTTGAGGCGCCTTCCCAACAAAGCAGCTGGACCTGATGGCATTTCCTATGACATGCTCAGACATTTGCCGTACCCAGCAGTGCACAGGCTAGCAGCTCTTCTTACCGAGATGGAAAGAGCGGCACTTCTGCCTACGCAGCTTACTTACACCAACATTGTCCTCATTCCCAAGTCTGCCAAGGTCGAGCGGCCTATTGCCTTGACCTCCTGCCTCTACCGCGTTTGGAATTCCTACCGGAAGCACGACATCCAGCGCTGGCAGATGACCCTGGATGATGAGCTTCCCTGGGATCAAGCACGACCCAAGCGGGACTGCCTCTCCATTGCGGTTGGGCGAATGTTGAAGTCTGAGATCAAGAAGCACCAGGGCATCCACACTGTGACCTGTTTGGCTGACTTGTCCTGTTTCTATGACACCGTCAACCTGGACCACATCATTGAGCCTGCGGCGGAGCTCAACTATCCGCCTGTCCATCTCAAGCTGGCTTTGGATCTCTATTCTGGGCTCCGTTTGCTTCAGGCCGAAGGCATAGCTGGTGATCCTCGGCACTACTCCCATGGCATTTTGCAAGGGTGCCCACAAGCTCCTGCCATCAGCAAACTCATCCTCTACAAGCCGCTCAAGGCCCTGCAGCACGCTCACCCGGCGGTTGCCCTACAGACATGGTGGATGATGTCTCCTTTGATGTCTGTGGCCGTGATCCGGATTATGTTGCTCGGGAGGCCATCCTGGCCTACCGATCGCTCCGAGGGCTCCTCACTGAAGCGGGCCTGAAGGTCAACACTGACAAGACCGGCTGTCTGTCCAGCAGCAAGGAAACTGCCCGTGCTCTGAAGCTTCATCTCAAAGAAGACGATCCGCAACATCACAATGTTTTGCGGGACTTGGGAGTTGATGCTACTGCTGGCCGACACCGTCGTGTCACTCAAGTCAAGAAGCGGCTTCTCAAAGGAAGGGGGGCGAGCTGGTATTCTGCAGAGGTTGAAGCTCCAGAGGAACATCAGTCATCGCACCCACAAGAGTGCAATCCATCCGGTCATGTCCTGGGGAGCTCAGGCGAATGGATTGGCCCCTCAGAGGAGGCAATACATCCGCGTCATGGCCGCCAGGAGCCTTCAACTTCAGCGCTCTGGATCGGTGGATGTGGTCTTTGATATGCATCCTCACCAACCTGATCCTGGCGACTCCATCATCCAGCAGCATCTTCATTCCGTCTGGAAGATCTATCATTCCTTTGATGAGAGCACGAGGCACCTTTTCTGGACCAGTTGGAATGTTGCCTTGGGAGCTCTGCAGAAGGTGAGATACCGGTGGCAAGTCGTCTCAGGTCCTCTCCAGGCTCTTCAGGCCTACCTCCTGGACTATGATTTCGATCTTTCAGCCGGTCCCACGTGGCGGCGCACCGGCTATGGGGGCATTCCCGACTGTGTCCTCAGTTAGGAGGAATGTTGGCCTGAGCTCCTTCACAAGCTGCAGACTGCTGCGCCTGACCAGGTACGAGGGCTGCCACGACATCGAGAGGCCTTTGGATTGGCAGGTGAGTTTGACTCTGCAGAAGATGTCGGAGAAGAATGGCCCCGCTCTCAGGGCTTTCCATCAAGGCACTCTTCATGGCCAACAAGGCAATTGCCCTCTATGTGGTGACGACCTCACCTTCATCCACTTGTTGTGGCAGTGTCGCTTTTGGAAGGGAAAAGTCAAGGACATTCCTGAAGAGTGGAAAACACGCCTTGCAGCAGGAACGGAACCAGAACTATGGCAACGAGGCATGGTGCAATCCATCTTCTACATCCAGGAAGGAGGCATGGGCACTTTTCAGCATGAAGGGCACTGGACCCCAGAGGCCGCCTTTGACATCCCGGCTGGACATGCCATCTCTCTGGCGGTTGCCCCTACCTGCAAGGATGTGAGGCACAAGCGCTTTGTTTTCGTCCTTTGCATGCACCATGTCTCCTCCAAGCGACGGGTGGCGGCACTCAAAGGCATCTGTCCGGGTCAACCCACCAGAAGCAGGGCCCTTTTCTATGGTCTCAAGCACCTCGCTTTGCATAGCAAGGAGAAAGTCCATGTGGCCATCTATGACCACGGAGTCTGGAAGCATTGGCAGCCCTCAGCAGCTAATGAGCAGTTTCCTGACCTCTACCAGGGCCTGGATCCTGAGGACTTTGCCCAAGTCCGACCTCTCCTTTTCTCCAAGAAGGAGCAAGACACCAATGGGAATCGGAAGGCTTTCCAGGCGGATGCGGATCAGCTGGCCAGAAATTTTGCCAAGTCGTCACGCAATGAAGAGATCCTGGACCTTCAAAAGCACATAGACGAAGACACTAGAGATGTGCTCTGTGTTGCTGCCTCGAGGATGACTATCCTTCTTCAGGACAAGTCTCATTTTCTCCACCAGGCCAAGGCGGACGCTGCTCCACACAAAGTTCCCTTGGTTGAGCAAAAGCGGGCTCTTTGAGGCAACTGGAAACGCGGCCTGACCTTGGCGGCCATTCCTGGCAGGGCTATCGATCCGGAGTCCGATGCGACCACTGCAAGCAACGGTTCCATGCCAAGAGCTTGGTGGTGGATCTTCGGGAGGCCCTGGATTCCACTTGTGCCATGGCTGCCCCTGTTTCGCAGCCGAAGAAAACTCGCTTTCAGGTCATTGACGAGCTGATAGCCGCCCAATCTGGGGTACAGCCTGGAGTACACTTGAAGCTTGACAAAGCATACCTTCGTTGCACCGAATGTGCTGGCTACATTTTGGCTCGCTGCAATGAAGAGCTCTTCACCAACTTCGTGGGTGGAGCATGTATGGTTGGACCTCTTGACCCGTCGCTCTGGCGGGGACACCCTTCGCACACCATGTGCAGGAAAGGGTCCGTGGCACGATGCACCCGTTGCGGAGGCAGCGGAAGGATCAAGGGTTCCGAGGTCGAGTTGAACGAGAAGCTCCGACGAAGGTGCGAACACCTGGGGTCAAAGGACCTCAGGACCTGGTTCACATGACGCACGTTCTAGCCCGAAAAGAGGCGTGCAAAAAAAAAACATACATACATACAAAATAGATACATTTTCCATTTTGCTGAAAGCTCAGGGGGCTTTCACTTGCTAAAGACCATAGTCTTGATCCCCAAATCGGCTCCTTTGGACAATACGTCTCGCTGTGCCGGGGTGACCACTGCCTGTGACTGTCTTGTGTTGCTGCCGCTATATAAAGTGTTTCATGTTCCAGTGCTTTGTTCCCACATTGACTGTTGTTTGTGGTCCCTCGCTGCCATTGCGTGTAGACTCTAGACATGCACTCACAGGGTATGGCTGCCAGTGGCTCCTTTTGCGGCCTGTGATCCAGAACCACTGGCCATGTAGATGCCAACCTGTGACTTCACAAAACTATGTAACAGCAACTTTACAGGCCTGATGACGTCTCGCAGCACTGTTGTACGGTGCGACAAAGTCACCAGTACCCAGCAGGATCCTAGCACCTTCAGCTTTGCACCAGGCAAACACCTTGCTGAGCCGTCTCAGTCTTCTGTGAGGCTCCCGTGTGGGGATATCGTGTAGCAGAGATAGCCAGTCATACCTTGGCATTCAAAGCTTTCTGCTCGTTGCACTTGCTTTTCTGATTCTTAGATGCTAGACTGCTAGATGACCGGATGACTGATTCACTCGAAGCATTGCTACTAGGAGCAAGGACGCTACTAGGAGCAAAGGGCATCGCTACTAGGAGCAAGGACGCTACTAGGGGCTCGGAGCAAGTGCAAGGCATCGCCTTTTCGGAGCAGAGATGGCACAGTTTGACATTCTGCCACTGACACTGCAGATATATAGTTTGCAGATATCAGGAGTGATGCGATTGATTGAGGTCAAAATTGCGGTGAAACCAGTTGTAGGCGCTCTTGAAGGCTTATATAAAATGAATCTCCTGGTGAATGTGGCTTTAATTAGTCTATTGATTGCGTTTCCAGTGTTTTGGGTGCGATGCCGGCTCGCAGCAAAGACTTGGCTGTTCAATAGACAGCCAGGGTGCAAAGGATTTTTGCAAGTCTTGCCAACATGCAAATGCATCATGTGACAAACACCCACCGAATCACAAGCAGTATTGCTTACGGGTTGGAAGAAGTGGACTATCATGATGTTGCGCTTTTTTTGCAAAGATTCCCTGCTATAGCTTTGGCTCCTGCCCGCACGTCACAGGGCAGTTGGTTTTCAGGAAGCCCAATAATGTGGCTGATTTCACCATGCTGCATGCAGCCAGCTACATTTGTTCAGGAAGCTGCAAGCAACCTCCAGGACGTCGTAGGCTCCTACATAGAAAGGACAGATATCCTTTTCAGGGCTTCCTGATACCGGCTGCTGGTATCTCTTGCGGTTGCGACCGGCGGCATTGTCTTGAGGATGTGCAAGCCGGGCAACCTGATTGGACTTGTCGTGACTTAAACATGGCTACCGATATGTATCTATCCTTTCAAGAAGTCAAAGGATGTTTCATGTTGACGGGTGCAGTCAGCGAGGGATGACCAGCAGCACTCCTTTCCATTCTTTTCTGACCTTCGCACGAATGCTGCGAAAGATGGTCTTCGTGGTCATGAACGAATAGATCGTTCTTGATCATGCATGCACACAGGGAGGGTGGCACGGCACATGAACCAACACTAGCTCCATTCATTTTGGGTACTAGGAGCAAAGGGCGGAGCAAGAAGCTACTAGTAGCTCCTGGCCTTACTACTAGGAACAAGAACGCTACTAGTAACAAGGGCTCGCTTTGCAAAGTCGATGATTGGCCAATCGGAATTTGACCGATTTTCTGAGCACCATTGCCATGAACATCCATGAACCATATCTGGCATCGATTCCTAACGTGCTGAATTCGTATTTCATTTGCAGAATTTGAGGAACCGTTCTTTGTTTTGAGAAATGTAATGTTTTCACCTGATACGTTTATCTCAAACCCATGGTTGATTTTTTCATGTGTGTACCATCCCGGAATTGCTTTTGATGACAGACTGCCCGCGCGAGTAAAGCCACCAGAGACCTTTCGGGCAAGCAAGTTTGACAGATGCAGACTAGATTCTTGATACTCTTGCTTGGTTCCTGTATGTGTGTGCAAAGCTGGACGGATTCTTTTGTTACTAGTTAGTAGAGAACCTGCAAGCCTGGTAAGGGCTTGAGTGCATTGGGATATGAATTCTCAAAAAGGCTTTTGCCTTGCCCAGAAGGTTCCACCAAGTGAAGCAATGACTTCCTTCGCGCCCAGTGTTGCTAGCTTCATGGGTATCAGCGCTGAGTGTTTTGCACAATCGTGGGGCTTCCAGCCAGAGAGACTCCGTGTTGAAATGAGATGGAAAGAAGCATACAGAACAGAAACTAAAAAGCTTTATTGTTGCTAAGAAGCTTGAAAGACCTAAAAAGCTTGATTGTTACTACAGGTGAAACGATTCCCAGTGGAACAGAACCACATATCGATTTAAAGCCTGGCTCGGGGTGGGCCGCTAGAAGAGGTAGCTAGAGTAGCTATTAAGTAGGAAGCTTCTAGTAACTGGACGCAGGATAATTCACACTTCTTCAAGGAAGCGGGGGAGCTTCTTTGAAGAAGCGCTCGCACTAATGATTTTGTTCCTAGATGTTTAGGGACTTAACATGTCAAATGTTTTCTATTGAGTGCCAACGATGGTTGGAAGCCCTGGATAGCTTCACAGCAAGGCTTCACGGTGCTCACCTCCAGAGTGTGGATTAGCACCAGCTCGCTAAGCCTGGGAAGCCTGGGAAACGGGAATGGTAAAGGACGCACGATGACATTGTAAAGCCGGTTCCTAAGGAAAAAGTTGTGGACCAGAATCGATGCGGACGGCGTGCGATGCTCAAGAACAAAGATTCTACTCTTCTTCCGTGAGTACTCTGCGGAAACATGTATAGCCTTTGTTTGCACTTGCTCTTGCAAGTTTGCAGCCTCAAAAGTCAGCGCTCAGCGTGCCGCAGCATTCCAGACGACATGGATGGCCATTCAGTCGGTGACCAAATTCGGATCTCTGAGCCAACATATCCTGTAGAAAACAATTTGTGACGTTGGTTTCAATCTTTCTGGATTTATTTTTGCATTCGGGATAAGCCTGATCTTTTTGCACTCGACATGACATAGCAGCATGGAAACATGTACACTACCGAAGGCCCTCTTTTGGCTGAAAAGTACCTGTGCACTTCGCGGTAGGCTTTTTTCCAAGACCACCTGACGTTGGTCAGTTGTTGGCTCCCATGGGACCTAGCTGATGAACGCGCGGCCGTCGACGCTGCCACCGCAGTCGGACTTGCCTGTGGTGCCTGATGATTCTGAGGAGACAAGTCCAATGAGCAGGAGGATCAACAGAACGTGGACCTGTTTGAAATGCCCTTTGAAGAAGAGGATGAACTGGATGCGGCCGAAGGGGCTGCAGCAGGGGCAATCAGTGCTGGTGAAGGACCTCGATTACAAGAGGCGGCAGCTGGTGGTGCAATCAGTGCCAGTGGTGGAAATGATGGAGATGTCGGCCGGAAGGCAATAGATCAACCTGGACGGCAATCCATCGAGCACAGGATCTAAATAGAGTCGGGATGGCCGACTGGACGAGGGGCTCACAAGTCACAACTGGATAATGATCGGGATGGAGTTCCGATGCCACCCCAAAGCTGGCTTGACCACAGCGTGCGAAAAGTGAAGGAGGGGAAGAAGGCCCAGAGGCACCCTGGCTGATCGGGTTCAACGTTCTGAACAACGTGATGGAGAAGATCTTCAACGTGCACTTGAACGTCAAATGATGGAAGACCTCCAGAGGCAAAACAAAATTCTCCGAAGAGAGCTCAAGAAGGCAAGACTAGGCTCCGAGAAAAAGGCCAACGAGGTGAAGGAAGAACCACGATCGCCCATGACGGAGATGTTCACCCCCATGAAACTGGATCCAAACCGTCGAACACCAGGAGGAACGCAAGTCCCACCAGGATCGCCTCCAGTTGAGGGTGAGACATCAGGGAATCATCGTCTTCCTCAAGTACTGCCTTGGCCGTGGACATCCGTGGGACAAGAACTACAGGGGAGTAGCTTGGAACAGGTGTTGTCACCCGGACCTATGGTATGGAAGCGCTACGACCCTGAGGATCGTGAGCAACGTGAACAACATGGACGTGAACGGCATCAACGTGAACTTCGCCTACATGGACATGGAGAACGTGAAGGCGGGGCTCATCCCCGACAAGAACGAGCACTTCAAGTGGAAGAAACGGCGAAAGGAAAAGACCTGGTGAATGGGAGACCTCAGGCACTGGGAGATGAATGTGAGCCGCCACGGAGTGCTACGAGCTACAGAAGTGTCCCAAGCTGGGATCTGATCAAAGATGGTGATCGTGACTCCGGCAATGGACAGCGTGAACGATGTTCAAGAGACCTGATTGATGTGGCTGGAAAGGGAGCTACATGATCTTTGAGGTCGACTACATGATTGCGAACGACGGGATCCAGGTGAGACGAAGCCACAATGGGCCTCGGACTATGACACCTGGCTGCAGCAACGGGGGAGGTCTCGTGAGAGTCGAGGAAGAGGTGAAAGGGGGCCGGTGCCTGATGTCTCGTCTCCACCACCTCCACCGTGGACAGCTGCAACGCAAGAACCTCAGGTGAAGAAGGAGGGTGGAACAGTGGACGAGGGTCGGGATGACTTGCGGGCAGTTGCAGCGGTCTTGCCGAAACTCCCAGAAGAAGGTTCTCATCAAGCTCCTCTTCGCTATGGAGATTGGATTGCTGAGGTGGCGCCATTGATTCAGGATGTCAGTGCAGGTGCTGGGAAATTATGGTCTGACCTGCTGGCCAAAGTGGGCGAGACATTCCGGTGTTGGTTGGCCTATGATCCACTGACAAGGCTCACCATTGATATTCCTACTCGACCAAATTCATCAAGGCTGGAGGGCCGTGTGACCAGCCTCCTCCTAACATCCCTTCCTCAAGTCGGAAATCATTGCTTCGAGGAAATTGACGGCAGGTGCAATTATGCTGGAGATCCTGAAGCGATTTCAACCTGGTGGACTCACGGAAAAGGCTGGCTTGCTGAAGGCGCTGACAGCACCTACAACAGCGACAAGTGCATCCGAGGCGGTCGATAAACTTCGCCTGCGGGCCCGGAAGGCTGTGCGCGCAAAACCAGATCCTGCACTACAAGTGCGGGCTTTGGACTCCATCTGCCGAGTCGTGCTGAACAGAGAGGCTCAGGCAAACTTCCGCGCGCAAACATGGAGACATCAGCATAAACCCGACGTCGTTATGCAGCAGGAGACCGTGAATCAGTTCTCACGACTCACACCTCCTGCAGTCAGAGATGCAAACCTTGGCACTGTCCACTGAGGAAAAGGAGTTGGGGGACGCAAAAGTGAAGCAAATCCAATCAAGCCCAGAGAAGGGACAAGTCAAGACTGCGCGCACTCATTGGTGCACTGACGCTGGATGCTTTCGCGCGGACAAGCGCAAATTCGCTCGCAGCTGGACGGACGTGGCTGACAAGGCATCAAGATGCTGGC